CGAGACAGAGAAGCACCCAATCCCTGATTTTTCCCAATAAAAGGTCTCACCAAGTGGAAGGAAGTGCCGCTGAGGTTTATTAGTGATTCAGCTGAAAAGGATGCAGAGCAGCAATCATTCGCCAAGCAGAGCATGTGTTTACAGAAGTAAAGGCCATTTTTATAGAAAATACAGAGTTGTGAGTTTCAAAATTCCCGCTCCCACCTCCCGCCCAGCTCGAAGGGGATTGGCTGACGCGCAAACAGCTGGGAGGAGGCCAATCACAGGGCTTTCACGGTGCGCCAGAGGCTCCTGCTACCTTGACGCTCCAGCGAACCAGAAGGGAGGGAGGCGGGATGAAGGGAGACAATGCATTCTGGAGTGGATTATGGAATTCCAATGTCCTGGGGCTTCTTGAGTCCGGGATCGGCTTTCTAAAGAAACTAAGTTTATTGTCCTGAGATGGGTCTGTGATAAGAAATGATTACTTAATCTGTGTTTTCCTGTTACATTCAGATAAGACACAAAGAGGAGGCTGGGGTGGATGTCCGTTGAGGAAAGGTTTGAAAGAAAAACGGCTTGGAGGAAAAGAGGACTTTTCTAAGGTGGACACTGGTGGAGTTTGGGGAAAACAGACCTTGACATTTGGGAGTTGTAGTTGCTGGGATTTATAGTTCACCTACAATCAAAGAGCATTCTGAACTCCACCAGTGATGGAGTTAAACCAAACTTGGCACACAGAACTCCCATGACCAACCGAAAATACTGGAAGAGTTTGATGGGCATTGACCTTGAGTTTGGGAGTTGTAGTTCACCTACGTCCAGAGAATCAAGCTAGGATGGATCTGGACCAAACTTGGCACGGATTCTCAATATGCCCAAATGTGGACACTGGTGGAGTTTGGGGAAAATAGAATCTTGACATTTGGGAGTTGTAGTTGTCAGGATTTATAGTCCACCTACAATCAAAGAGCATTCTGAAATGTATCAGCTATAATTAGGTCAAACTTCCCAAACAGAACCCCCATAACCAACAGAAAATGGTCTTTGGCAACCCCTTTGACACCCCCACATGACCCCCCCCCCCCGGGCTCCTGACCCCCAGGTTGAGAAACTCTGCACTAGTTCCTTCAATACTCTTGGGTGTAGTTGATCTGGCCTTGGGGACTTGAACTCGTTTAGAGCGGCCAGGTATTCCCGGACGACTTGTTTCCCAATTTGGGGTTGGATGTCCTCTAATCCCTCATCCACTCCATCTTGCTGAGATTAAAGATGACTTTCTTTTTGTGAGAAGACTGAGGCAAAGAAGGCATTAAGTAGTTCTGTCTTTTCCCTACCCCTTCAGCATTGCCCCATCTTCTCCTTGAAGAGGCCCTATCGCCTCCTTGTTTTTCCTTTTTTTCTACTGACATAAGAAAAGAAGCCCTTTTTATTGTTTTTAATGTCCCTGGCAAGCCTGAGCTCGTTTTGTGCTTTAGCCTTGCGGACCTTTTCCCTACAGGTGTTGGCTATTTGTTTGAATTCTTCTTTGGTGATTTCTCCCTTTTTCCACTTCTTGTGCATGTCTCTTTTGTATTTTAGCACAGTTAGAAGTTCTTTGGACATCCATTCTGGCTTTTCCCTATCCCCTGTCAGCATTGCCCCATCTTCTCTTCGAAGAGGCCCTATCGCCTCCTTGTTTTTTCTCTCTTCCCTCTTTCTTTTCCTTCTTTTTCTCTTTTTCTTTCTTTTATGTTCTCTTACTCTTTTCCTACTTTCTCTCTTTGTTATATCAAAGTTTTTCTTTTTCTTTTTTATGTATACATATTTTATTCTGTTTTTAAGGAAAAATTTCAATAAAGATTATTTTAAAAAAATGCTTGGGTGATACAACAGCTTTTTGAACTCACTCTGCAAACAATTTGCCATGAAAACCACAAGGAAGGATATCAAATCTTTTATTTGGCAGTTTTATATATACAAGAGCAGAAGTAAACACCAGCAAAAGTACATTTTCTGTGTCTCAAAGTGCAAAGGCCATTGGACGGCATCATTATCGTGGCTTCTTCGTTGTTTGAAGGACAGCAGAATGAACAAAATCACACCAAAAAAAATCACACCCAGACTTTGGGCTCTCTGAATTGCGATGGACAAAAGCATAGAAAAGTTACTTTGGGGACAAAAAGGCCCAAGGAGCCCACTGAGGATTCTGTGCATTTTAAAATTATTTTTCTATATTCTGCATACGGACTCAGACCAGCATGCGACGCACACATGAAACAGGTACACACCTGAATTTTTTTTATTAAAGCCCTGATTGATAAATATATTACTCTGAATTATACCCGTGAGGATTATCTACCAACATGCTTTCATACTTTAACATTCGGCTATTTGTGAGCCAATGGTGCCCCCTATGCTCCATCAAAGTTACTACTGCATGGGGACACTTTAGGACAATGGGTTGTCCCAGGGTCAATTTATTTGCTTCTTCCACCAGGACTGCAGCTGCTGCCACAGCCCTTAAGCATAGAGGCCATCCACAAGCCACGTTGTCCAGCTGTTTTGACAAATACGCCACCGGTTAAGGCCAGCTCCCAATAAGTTGAGTCAACACTCCAACTGCCACTCCCTTCCTTTCTCCTACACAAGTAAAAGGTCTTTTCCAAATCTGGCAGCCCCCACGTGGGGGCGGACATCAGAGCTTTCTTCAGGTCTTGAAACGCACTCTGTTGCTCTGGGCCCCACACCAAGGGGTCTCCTGACTTTCCTTTCGTAGCCTCATGAAGGGGTTTGGCATATAGTCCGAAATTCGGCACCCATATGCGTCAAAACCCCGCCACCCCCAGAAATTCCCTAATCTGTTTCCTCGTCTGGGGGGTGGGGATGGAACAAATAGCCTCTTTGCGTTCCACCTCCAATCGTTGGGATCTTTGTTGGTCCAAACCTCAGTGAAATGGAGGGACAAGGGAAGGAGAAAAGTGCCACAGGAAAGAAGGGTGGCTTACCTGTAACCATGTTTTTTCGAGTGGTCATCTGTGAGATCCAAACATATTTTGCTGCAAAAGTGCATCGGAATACCATATGTGCAATTCACAGAGACCACGAAGGAGAAGCAAGGCATGTGCAAAGGAAAGGCCAAAAAAAAAGTTACAGACAAACCAAACACCCAGATTGAGGAAATACTGAATTTTCAGGTGAGATCCCTTCCATTGCAAAATACAGCATTTGAATGATTGCATTAATTAACGTACATTTTTCTCGCTGTGCAAAATACATTCTGCCCTGCAAACGAATAATTCATTGACAGGTGTGTGCACTTCACTTTGTGATTGATTAGCAATTCTGTGCCAATCGCTTCCACCTAAACAGTGATCCCTTTCCAAAGATTAAACCAAATGTACCTCTTTACATTTCTATAGACAGAAAGATATTCAAAACTAACAGTGCTGAAGACTATTTTTTAGGCATGTGCAAATCATGGTTCTAAAGTACTTGCAAAACTAACGTTCTGGTTTTGAAAACTAGGCAGCGCTGGTGCTTTGCTTCTACAGTGTTCTGGTGGTGAAAATTTCAGAACTCTAACACAACTTTCAAATTTTCATTATAAACAGCAGTTCCTAATAGGTTTTGTCATAAAAATTACCAATAATGAAATAATAAAGTACCTGCAAAACTAAAGTTCTGGTTTTGAAAACTAGGCGGCGCTGGTGCTTCTACAGTGTTGCTAAAGTTCTGGTGGTGAAAATTTCAGAACTCTAACAAAACTTTCAAAATGTAATTATTACTTCATTATTGTTGATTTTAATGACAGAACCTATTAGGAACTGCCATTTATAATGAAAATTTGAAAGTGCTGAAGACTATTTATTAGGCATGTGCAAATCATGGTTCTAAAGTACTTACAAAACTAAAGTTCTGGTGGTGAAAACTAGGGGGCGCTGGTGCTTTGCTTCTACAGTGTTGCTAATGTTCTGGTGGTGAAAATTTCGGAACTCTAACAAAACTTTCAAAATTTCATTATTGGTGATTTTTAGGACAGAACCTATTAGGAACTGCCATTTATAATGAAATTTTGAAAGTGCTGAAGACTATTTATTAGGCATGTACTTACAGTACTAAAGTACTTACAAAACTAAAATTCTGGTTTTGAAAACAGTGTTGCTAATGTTCTGGTGGTGAAAATTTCAGAACTCATAACAAAACTTTCAAAATTTCATTATTGGTGATTTTTATGACAGAACCAATTACGAACTGCCATTTATAATGAAATTTTGAAAGTTTTGTTAGAGTTACAAAATTTTCACCACCAGAACTTTCGTAACACTGTAGAAGCAAAGCACCAGTGCCCCCTAGTTTTCAAAACCAGAACTTTAGTTTTGCAAGTACTTGAGAATCATGGATTGCACATGCCTAATAAATAGTCTTCAGCACTTTCACAATTTCATTATAAATGGCAGTTCCTAATAGGTTCTGTCATTAAAATCACCAATAATGAAATAATAATGAAATTTTGAAAGTTTTGTTAGAGTTCTGAAATTTTCACCACCAGAACTTTCGCAACACTGTAGAAGCAAAGCACCAGCGCCCCCTAGTTTTCACCACCAGAACTTTAGTTTTGTAAGTACTTTAGAATTGCACATGCCGACTATTTATTGCTAGATGGAAGTAAGGTATCTTCCTAGTGCGGATGCAGAGCTTTGTAAACTGAACTCTCCAGCAACGTATCGAATGCTCGGACGGAAAAATGATCGTCATCCAGTTGATTTGAGAAGTGGACGGTTTCCTTCATTTACTTACTATTTTGGTCAGTTTGCAGCAGGACGGAACATTAAAGCAGAAGGAATGGCGACACGTCCTTCTAAACCTTTGCGGTAGACATTATGTGCACAAACAATATTGAAATGTGGTTAAAAAATTGATATTGCAGTGAGGTTTGGTCTTGGAGGGAGGAAAAGTGAAGACGAACCCCACCATAGTGTGTCTACACACGTTTTCCAGCAAACCAATTCCCAGAAGGCCCTTTAAATGAAAGGTTTTGGTTACGATCGGCTTAACCGGAGAGAAGCCTGCTTCACCAACTTCTGCTGATGCCTCGACGCTTGCGCTTCGTCAATGGCTTGGCAAACTCTCTGAGAAGCAAAACACAACAATGGGATCATTACGTGCCAAATCGTCACGGGGAAAAATGGAAGGTAAAACATAAACAAAGCTCTCCTGGTTGCAAACAGAAGAAGCAGCATAGCAAAGCAGTGTTTCTCAACCTTCCTGATGCCGTGACCCCTTAATACAGCTCCTCGTGTTGTGGTGACCCCCAACCATAACATTATTTTTGTTGCTACTCCATAAATGTAATTTTGCTTTTATATGGCGCCCTTCTCACCCCAAAGGGGACTCAGAGCGGCTTACAAGTAACAAGTAAATACATTATACGAGGGGACGAGGGATAGGGCCTTCTCGGTGGTGGCCCCTCGACTCTGGAACTCGCTCCCCAAGGTTATTAGACATGCCTCAACTCTGGCAGTCTTTAAGAGGAGCCTGAAAACGTTGTTGTTCCAGTGTGCCTTCCCAGAACAAGGAACCCTAAGCAACATGTCCCTAATCGCACTTTACTAATGATCTAAGATTGTCTGCTCGCCCCATTTCTCTCCAAGTACCCATCCTAGTCATATGTCACCTTGTCATGCCCAGTATTTTAAAATTGTAATTATTACATTAGACCCTACCATAGGTTTTTAATGCGTTGTGGTGTTATTGTATTGTTTATTGCTTTGTTTATGAGTTTAACGATGGAATTGAACCAAACTTGGCACTCAGAACTCCCATGACTAACAAAAAATACCAGAAGGGTTTGGTGGGCATTGAGCTTGAGTTTGGGAGTTGTAGTTCACCTACATCCAGAGAGCAGTGTGGACCCAAACAATGATGGATCTGGACCAAACTTGGCATGAATACTCAATATGCCCAAATGTGAACACTGCTGGAGTTTGGGAAAAATAGAGCTTGATATTTGGGAATTGCAGTTGCTGGGATTTATAGTTCACCTATGATCAAAGAACCCCTTCAATCCCACCGACAGAATTGGACCAAAATTCCCACACAGAACTCCCGTGACCAAGAGAAAATACTGTGTTTTCTGATGGTCTTTGGTGACCCCTCTGATACCCCCTCATGACCGCTCCAGGGGTCCCGACCCCCAGGTTGAGAAACACTGATATGATATAATATATTGTGTGTGTGTGTGTGTGTGTGTGTATATATATATATATATATGTATATGTATGTGTGTGTGTGTGTGTGTGTGTGTGTGTGTATATATATATATATATATATATATATATATATATATATATATATAATATTGATAATTATAATGATATTGATAATTATGGAGCCCCCGGTGGCGCAGTGGGTTAAAACAGGTTCGATTCCGGGGAGCGGCGTGAGCTTCCGCTGTCAGCCCTAGCTTCTGCCAACCTAGCAGTTCGAAAACATGCAAATGTGAGTAGATCAATAGGTACCGCTCCGGCGGGAAGGTAACGGCGCTCCATGCAGTCATGCCGGCCACATGACCTTGGAGGTGTCTACGGACAACGCCGGCTCTTCGGCTTAGAAATGGAGATGAGCACCACACCCCAAAGTCAGACATATCTGGACTTAATGTCAGGGGACTACCTTTACCTTACCTTTAATATATTGATATACTATAAATTATAATATATTTCTAATTATAATATAAATTATAATATAAATCAACGTAAATTTATAATATAAATTAAAATAAATTATAATATATTATTTATATATAATATACATAAAATAATAAATTATAATATATTGATAATATTACAATATACTACTACTACTAATATGATATTATAATTATATATTTTATATTAAATGTAATATTACTAATAATATTACAGTGTAATAGTACAATGTAATATATAATATTAATATTGTGCTATGATAATAATATAATATATTGTATTTACTTTTTACAACCCCTTCGGGTTGAGAAGGGTGGCATATAGATGTCGTAAATAAATAAATAAATAAACATTATTCCACAGATATATA